TGGAATGCTCAGACAGAATAAGAAGGGCACAACACAAGCAGCTCAGGCCTACAGATTAAAAGTATGAGACAGGAGACAGAGTGTACTACAAGCGAGCAGACAGTACAGAGTGGAAGGGTCCTGGATGGAGCTGTAGTGTTCATAAGACATGGTGGGATTCGTGTCAGAGTACACCAGTCCAGGCTTAGTAAAGTGAATGCACAAGATGAAGATAAACCTGTACTGCCCAGTGCTCCTGAAAATGGTGAAGACAATGAAAACATGGTACACACTGATGTGTCAGAGAGTTCAAACGATGAAATGAGTGTTAATGGACAAGAGCAAATCCCTGAAAACACAGAAACAAATGAGAGGGAAAACATGAGATATACTAATGAGACATATAGAAATAGAAGAAAAAGAAATAGAAAAATACTTTATTTATCCCAGGCCTGGGAAATTACTGAAACAGAGAGTGATGCAACTAATACAGTGGGTTCTACTGATTTCAAACTGAGAACAGGTCAGACAGTCACATTTACAAACAGAGATGATGGTGTTCAGCACACTGCCAGAGCATTAGGCAGAGCAGGAAAAGCAAAGGGGCAATACAAAACTGGTACAATGTGCAGTATCTTGAACCTGATGGCACGGAGGGACAAAAACAAGCGTTGGACATGTCACATGTTGATAACCTTCACACTGAATGTGAAAACACTGATGATGATGTACTCATTACCAAAGACATCTCTTTTGATGCTGCTAAACAGCAAGAGATTGGAAACTGGAAAAATAAAAATGTTACGGAGAGGTCACAGACAAAGGTCAAAAATGCATTTCTACTAGATGGGTCTGTACACTGAAAGAAACTTGTAAGGGTATTGTCCCCAAAGCCTGCCTTGTGGCGAGAGGTTTTGAAGAAGTCAGTATTCACGAGTTACAGAAAGATTCTCCCACATGTGCATCAGTCACTCAGGCTGCTGTTAGCTGTGATCTGTCAACACGAATGGAAAGTTCATTCTATGGATATTAAAAGAACTGTGGATTTGATGTTGTGTATCAGGTACGACCACCTTGTGGCGATAGAGCGCAGTGGACGGGCTGCAGATGGAAATTACTACAACATGCGAGCAATAAACATCAAACATCTGGTGGATCCCATCGATGACCTGTTTATTGCTGCCAAGGACATCCCAGGAATTAGTACTACAGGTAGGTAGCATTTTTTATACTTTTTATTTTACCCCTTATTGCTATGCAGTTCATGATTGCAAATTGGGACCAATAATGAACCTTAGCCATTTAGGCAATTTTTATCGTAAATAAATCAAAAGAAACATGTTAAACAAAAATTAAACTGCATGTTTTTCTAAATGAGAAAGTTTTATTTGCACACTAGTTAGAATAATAATTTCATTTGGGGGGTCTGCTACTGTCACAAAAGAATATATGAAATAACAACACCTCTCTTAAAATTACTACTCTGTATATTTTGTTAAACAGGCAAATCATTATGATGATCACACAAAATACAAAACATTTACAAAACTTACTGTCATAAATTAGTTGCAATTTATGTAAACTATTCTTCTCTCTGTTACTGTAGGGATCGGTGATGGAGGTAATGAGCTGGGGATGGGTAAAGTGAAGGAGAAGGTGAAGGACCTGATGCCCAAAGGGAGTCTTATAGCCTGTGATGTTCCTGC